CCCCCATTTTATCCAGGAAAGCCAAGGAGTGGGCACAGCCTGGCACCCCCCATTTTATCCAGGAAAGCCAAGGAGTGGGCACAGCCTGGCACCCCCTCGGGCCAGCCCTGCTGTGCCCTGCGCTGTCCCCACGGCCAGGGACACCGAGACGGACCCCCGGCCATGGGGGCAATGTCCCCGGTCCCGCAGCCCCGCCTGGGCGAAGGCAGCTCGGTGCACGGACACACAGACAGACAGACGGACAGACAAACGTCCTTCTCCAGCACTCGCGGCGTGGGGAAGCACACCCCAGTGCCAAGCTGCGTGAGCCAGCAGACAGACAGCGATCCCGACAGACAGACAGACAGACAGACGGACAGCCAGCCCGCTTCAGCCCAGCCGAGCCCGGCTGCCAAAGGCACGGATCTCCTCCGCTGCATTCCCTCTCCTCCAGCGCAGCCCCTCGGGCTGTCCCCGCGGATCCGGGGCTCGGCAATGCCCCCGGAGCGCTGCCGGAGCATGCGGGGCTCAGGACCAGGGGTCTGCCCGGTGCTGCTGGTTGTAGAGCTGCAGCTTGATCTGGTCTCGGATCTGGTTGATGAGGAGCCGCGCCAGGACGATGCCCACCAGCTGCAGGGAGGGAAACGAGAGAGGAAGGGAGTGGGGAAAAGGAAAGGGATGGGGAGAGGAAAGGGGGAGAGATAAGGAGAAGGAGGGGAAGGAGGAGGGGGAGAGGGAGCGGAAAGGGGAAGTGAGATAAAGGGAAGGCAAAGGGGAAGGAGAAGGGGAGAGGAAGAGGGAGGAGAAGGAGGAAGGGGATCAGTGAAGGAAATGAGAGAGGAGGGGGAAGGGAAGAGAAATCAAGGAGAGAAAGGGAGAGGAAGGGAGGGAAGGGGAAGGGGGAAGTGGGAGAGGAAGGAGAGAAAAGCGAGAGAAGGAGCAAGAGGGATGGGGGAGATGGAGGAAGAGGAAGGGGGACAGGGATGTACTGAGCGACACCAGGCAGTGTCACCCCCCGTCCTGACATTTAAGTTACTCCCCCACCCCAAATCCCATCCCAAAACCAGCCACCATTAGGGCAGCTCCCCCAAAAAAACCCCACAAAGCGGAGCTTTGGGGGGCCCTGGTCCCCCAGCCCCGTACCTGGGGCAGGGCCAGCCCCAGGGTGATGCCCCCCAGCAGGAAGAGGTTGCTGTGGGTCCAGTTGACCAGCTTGTCGATGCAGCCGTTGGTGTGGATGAAGGCACTGGCCTCCAGGTAGCCCCTGGCCTGCATCCCGTGGCCACACATGGTGTTGATGACAGCCTGGGAGAGGGGACAGAGCACAGGGGCTGGGGACAGAACACGCTGGGCTCCCTGCT